GATTATTATTATTATTATTATTATTATTATTATTATTATTATTATTATTATTATTATTATTATTATTAGCAGCATAGGTATCTTGGAGAATAAGTTAGGAATTAAATATTATTATAAAAGATCTTGTCTTGTTGGACAAGTTAGGAATAGGGTTTATGAGCCTTATTTAAAGGACTCCCTATCTATTGTTTTATTCAGTTGATTATGAATTATTAAATGAAAGGATGATTTGATATCATGTTTAGATGTTCTTGAAGCAGTTTCATAAAGGGAAGTGTGAGGTTGCCATTGTTGACGATGGTGCACTTTCCAAACCGATTCTCGAAAACAAAAAAATGTTATTTATTGGATTGTGGTTCCGAAGTATTTGTTTGGGATGGTTGGGTAACTCAAGTGGAGGAGAGAAAAAGTGTCATTCGTGCAGTCGAGGATTTTGTGGCTCGCCAAAGTAGATCACAGTGCCGTTCAACCTTCGTGTTTGATCGAGGAAAACGACGGGGGTTTCCTACCATGGGTTCGACACCACACACCGGTCACGGGTGTGCATCGGCTTCGAGGGCGAAGCCTTCCGAACTGGAGGAGAATGGTGTAGATTATTATTATTATTATTATTATTATTATATTATTATTATTATTATTATTATTATTATTATTATTATTAATAAGTTAGGAATTAAATATTATTATAAGAGATCTTGTCTTGTTGGACAAGTTAGGAATAGGGTTTAGGAGCCTTATTTAAAGGACTCTCTATCTATTGTTTTATTCAGTTGATTATGAATTATTAAATGACAGGATGATTTGATATCATGTTTAGATGTTCTTGAGATTGCGATCTCATTAATATCGTCCCACTCGTACACTTCCCTACATCAATTTGATTGTTAGGAAGGCGTCACCGGAGGTAGTCGAAAATGCGGTGGCTTCATTTTCGATCTCTGCGGATGTTTTTATATGGGGAGGTCAAATTGGAGATGACGAACGCGAGGCCGAAGCTCGGGCTCGTTGCGATGTCAACAATATATGTTGTGTTTATATACTGTATATTTTCAATATATGTTTCCGTCGGCACTATCTCAGTGATGCTACGATAGTTTGTTCACGAGCAGCGGCGACATACGGATACTTCTTATAGGATCTGTGTTTTATTGTTATTTTATGCTTATTCGTGGTTTATGTTTGGTATATTAGAAGATTTCATGATATGTTTCAATGTTTATTTGATGTTTTATTCATAGTTTATATTTTGTGCATTAGAAGTATTTTTTGTTGACGACGAAATTGACAAAGAGAAAATTGTTGTTTTTTGCTTGATTATTGTTTATGTTGTTTTGGAAATTTCTCATAATTATATATATTAATGGTTTTTGTTTTGTTTTTATTTGTGTTTATGTTTTAATTGTTGAGTACTTTTTGTGAATGGATGTTTGTTTTTTTGTTTTCAACGTTTATTCAAAGTTTATGTTTGGTATATTAGAAGATTTTTTGGTTGAAAAAAAAATACACAAATGAGCAATTTGTTGTTTTTTGTTGTTTTGGTATATTAGAAGATTATTGCAACATTTACTGAATATATACTAACTATAAACGAAATATATACTGCTCATTCAAAACACGTGACAACTGAAAAATTTTATTGCACATTGATCATGGAAGAGACAAACCCTGTCGACTTTTTGTTTGGTATATTTGTTTGGAAGATGAAGACGTTTAAAATTTAAATTTAAACTCTCTTTATTTTTTCTCACAATCCGTTAACGATTATATTAGGATATATATATTTTTACCATATATTACAATGCATATTTTCATTTCTCTCTTAAAAACGCATAAGTTGCATGAATGAAGGGAGTCAATTATTTTTTTATTAGGTAACTGATATCTTAGGCATATATACAATTAAATTGTGTCAGATTTAGTGTATATGCAATTAAAAAATGTTGAATAGCAGAAATGCATTATCTTGACTATCATGTAGGATAGATGTAAATTCGCCTTCAAAATAATCCTAGCCCAATTGTTAGAAATAATAAATGAAAGCGAACCGGAAACAAATCAACCCTAAAAGCTAAAACAAAAATTCCCATCTCATAGCTGCACAATCAACGACTAAGAAAACCGGGCAGAGCTAAGCAAAAATTCCCAACTCATCTAGCTGTTGGAAATTCAGATTTTTCTCTTGGACAAGAATTATGACTCGGCGCAGTTGCAACTCAAACCCGCCCAATGTTCAAATGAAGACCGGTTCACCGATTCAAAGCATTTAATCAGACTGGTTTCGTAAGATTACTAAAGTAATTGTTGACAAGCTATTCACCAAATGCAGTTTCATTAGTGATGCAGTTTGTGTTCAACGGCTGACAGATGCAAATGCAGTACATAATACCATTTTATTATTTACCAAAATTCGAAGCACAAATATCTCAATTTCAAGTACAATTACGAGCAATGGTTTTGCAATGAGACAAGGGAGGAGAGGAGGCAGAGATAACACTTTTCGTGATGATCATCCGTAAACACTACACCGAAATCATTTATGGCAAATATACACTTCTACAGACCATAATTGGAGATCAGATGGCCATGACCTCCTAGGAAATATACAATACCTGGAAAGAAAATAAGAGCAGAGTCAAAAGCATGAACATCAAGCATAAGATTTAGTTGCAACAAATATCACCCACACAAACAATGAAGCTGAAACTGAGATAAATGTTGGTGTGTACAGTGCCGCAAATATAAGCTGAATAATGTGTATACAATCATTTAAATTTTACAAGCAGACATAGTCTCCATGATTCTCTAGAAAACTACATGATGTCAATTAGTATCAGTAAGTCAAAATATATATATATATATACATATGAAACTAATCCAAGAGAACCCAAAAAAGTTCAACATGAGGAAGTGAACCAAACAACTGGTGTAGCAATCTAAGCAATTCCATTTGGTATATGAAGTTTAAACAACAATGAAGGAGGCTACTAGCACACTCTAAGTGACTATAGTCATAAAAACATTTACCCAGATGGACACAACTTTCTCGTAATTTAAGCCAATCATCATCCACAAGTTAAAAAATAAATTTATTAAAAAATAAATCATCAATTTAAACAGATGTACAAATACAGACATTCCAAGCTAGCTCTGACTGACTTCAAATTCAGTCATTCACGCGGAGAAGGAACTTTATCATCCAGGCTCACCCTTACAGTAGCGACCAACCAAGCGACCTGATCACACTTGCGCACGTGCACATTATTTATAACTATTCATGGAGAATTGTTGATACAGAGATCAAGTTAAATCAAGAAGAAAGGTTGGGTTTAATTGGTAATATGGAAGATACCACACAAGGTTGGATCAATCCAATTATGAAATTAACAAAATTCCGTTCCACACCTCAATTTCCAGTGTCAGTATTTCACTAAGGTAAATGAATCCATCAGTAACTTAAACAAGGATAAAATGAAATTCAATAGTGTTAAAAGAAAGAGATTGTAAACGAAAAAGTTGAACCAATTGTGAAGGAGAAAATAACGTGCTTTAAAAAAATGGATTGTAAAGTCCATGCATTTGATAGAATTTCACTTCTTCTACAGTTCCAAATTCACCCCAAGGTCGATGAAAACCACTCAACAGATGAAAGATAATTAAACTAATTACTCATTCTCTTCTTTCATATAATTGAAGTTCATTTCAAACCCAGAAATTCAAGACATTTCTCCATCGATTTCCAGAAACTAGTGACAACTTATAAACTGTTTCGTATGCAGATATATATCCTATCAACCATATCAAACCAAATTTTCCACATGAACTGCTTCAAACTAAGTTCAACAATATAAAATGAACCGTTCATGTCCAAGCACAATCAAATTCACCCATGAAGCAACTTATGACAAAAAGAAAAGAAAGAAAGAAAAAAGCATCAACAGACAAATACCTCTAATTCTGCCAAACAGAACAAACTCCACTACACACCAACCACAAACCTCAACTACTCCTACCAAAGGCACCACCGTCTTCTTCTCCTCCCGCACCTCCACCACCTCTCTCCTCCGTGTGCCACCTGGGCCAGCTCGACACAGTCTCCACACTGCTTTGTCTCTCTAAGAGTCCATCCCTTTCCACCTCCCCAATCTGAGTCGGGGAAAGCAGATTCCCTTCACTTCCTCCCCCAACATCCGCCAAGTTCTCATTCCACCTGTTTCTCCTGGCCATATGTCTCAGCGTGTTCTGGAAAACAAACAAATCCGCCTCATCATCCACCAGCTCCTCAAGCCCCGCAGGCTCCGCCTCCTGGCCGCCCTCCTTGTTCTTCCCATCCTCCACGGCCGGTAGCTTAAACCGACACACGGGGCAAGAGTTGTTGATCTCGAGCCAGGGGACAATGCAGTCAGGATGATATGCATGCTTGCACGGCATCATTTTCGCGAGCGTGCCCACAGCGAAGGGATCCTTGCACACCGGGCAGAGGGCAGTGAGGTCGCTGTCGGGGGTGATGGCGACCTCCTGCAAGGAATCTATGGAGGACCTCGGGGCGGGATCGGATCTGGGATCGGCCTCGGCGGCGACGGTGGTGAGGTGGTGGATGAGGCGGCGGAGGTAGGGGCTTGTGAGGAGGAAATTGTCGTCGGAGGGGGTGAAGGTGGCGGGGATGGGGAGGCCGACATGGCGGAGGTGGTGGTGGCGGAACTTTTTGCCGGTGGGTTTGTTGAGGTTGGGTGGATAGGGATTTGACCCGATTTTCTGGATTTGGGGGAAAAATTTCTTGGGAGATGTAGTGGGTGGGGGGGTTTGGGCCCAGCGTTTGGTCACCGTCCAAAGTAAAACGCCGACGTTAGCTTACCGCTTACGGCCACGGGTGATTGGATACCAAAAAAAATAAAAATAAAAACATAGGATAAAAATAAAAATAAATAAATAAATAAAAATAAAAATATCAATTCAAACTCAATATTTTACTTAAATTTAAATTCAATTTCAATATTCTCATATTATCAATCAATAAAAAGTAAATCAATCATCTTTACATATCATATCAATTTTAATTCACTATTAATTCAGTCACATAATTTTAACTAATCATAACTTTCAATCATCTATCCCATATTTTTACATTAAATCAACTTTAATTATTTTATTTTAAATATGATTTAAATACGAACTCAAAATCTCAACAAGACTAATCAAACCAGCTTTTTCAAAATTAACTCTGATTAACCAAATAAATCAACCCAAATACTAATAAATTTGTATCCAATCATCTTTCTTGTGCCTGACCAGCTTGTCTTCAATCCCAATGCGGTTGAGGTGACAAGTTACCTCTTGAATGTGCTCCCTGCTCGTGAGATGCGACAATGGGAAAAAACCGCCCAGGTCGTGCGTCGTATGCAACTAAAGCTTTGACTTAGGTATATATGCTTCTTCTAGCTATCTAGAGATAAAATAAGTACTCCCATTTTCTAATCCTGGATTTCCTTATGTTATTTGTAGTTGCTTGTATCCCTCATCCCCATACTCGATGAAGAAACCAAATCAACCACCCCAACTTATAAGGATCTTTACAATGATCTGAAGGACTTGAAGAACGAAAATGATAAGCTCACCGCCAACAACCTTAAGCTCAAGAGGAAAGTTGCCGACTTGAACCGCCGGAATGCAGATTTGAAAAAAGAGATAGAGGTGTGTTGATGACCGACTTGGCTTCATGAGGTTAGAGCTGAAGACTAATCGCTTCATTCAATTAAGAAGTCCCTCAGAAATAGCTGAACTTAGCTCAAGTCGGTACCAGTTAAATACATTGATTACCGACTTCCAGTTGACTGAAAGTAGAACCTACAACTTGTCAGAAGCCGACAACCGACTTCACCAACATTGTGATTATGTCCATTAGAAAATTATCTATTCATCCGACATCCGAGGAGATCGAATTTCCAAGCAAGAGGTGCTGTACATATTCGATTGGGCCATCAAAACAAAAAGCAATCATTGATGTTTCCTCATTCCACTACACACCGTTTTATTGAAGCTGCTCAACATTAAATGCGATCTTATCTACCTCGGACAAAAAGACAAAAACGACCGAACTATAAATAGCAGAATTTATAGTTGTACGGGGGATCTTTTTTGGCACATTGTACATGGAGTAGAAATGATCTCGGTCAAGAACAAAAAACCGACTTTCTGTACTCTTGTGATATCATAAATAAAATACAATTATCTTCTTATTTCTGTTTAAACACACCCAGTTGTTTATAATTTTAAGTTGTTAATTACATACAACAACAGTTTGGCGCTAGAGGAAGGGCACGGCCTGAACCTTCAACAAAATTTGAGGTTAACTTTTCGACCCGTTATATACGTGTGTAAACAATACAACAACACACGTATTATCACTATGTCAAATTCTGGGCGACAAGAACGAAATCCAGATGCTGGAACCAACTGTCATCCTGCTCATACAGCTGATAATACAACTGTACCATCTATGACGATAGATTACTCTGTTTTATTCCAAGATCCAGAGTTTCTCAGAAATCTATCTAACTTTATGACACAAGCAAGAACAGGACCAACCATAACGGTTCCTAGTCAAGCTCATGCTTCAAATCCTCAAACCAGGCAATTGACGCCGCCTGTTCAACAACAAAATAATGTTCCTGCTGCATCTCATGCAACTTCTCAACCACGAACACCTGAGTCGCAACATAATATTACCGCTCATAATCGTGGTATAATTCCTGTTAACAATCATCCCCCGGAGGGAGTTCAACCAGAAATTACTGCTGAAAGTCATTCTGGGCGTCGCCAACAACAACCGGTGCCTTTGTCACCGGCAACTTCACAACACGTTCGACAGTCTGACTTACGTCATACAATTGAACGAAATCGGTTCCGACGAGAGAACGATGAATTACGTCATACTATCGAAAGGAACCGTTTAAGGCGTGAGTCGGAAGAGTTGGAAATGTTAAGGAAGAGAATTGCTGAGTTAGAAACTCGGCAAGATATTCTTGAGGAATCCCAACAAAGGGCTCCTATCTCGGAGAATGTCTATCTCGAAGTCGAGACTCCCTTGGCTCCTTATTTGACAATGGAACCACTTCCCTCCAAAGTCAAAGTCCCTCAGATCAGTCTTTACGATGGTACTTCAAACCCAGATGCACATCTCGGTCAATATACCTCCTGGATGGATCTTCATGGGGCAACCGACGCACTCAGATGGATGTTTTCTTTAACCCTGGGACCTCGTGCTCAAAAATGGTACCACTTTACCCCGATGTTCAATTTCAAAGTGGCAACAATTGAGAATGGCTTTCCGATCTCATTTTATCGGGGCTCGGGTATCTTTGATCCCAAAGGAGTCCATTGCCAATATCGTACAAAAGGATAACGAGAGCGTTAAAGACTATATTACTCGGTTTTATGAACGAGTACAAAATATGGAGCAATGCCATCCCGAAACACTACTGATCACAGCGATAGCTGGATTAAAGCCAAATTCCTTGTTTCGCTGGAGTATTTATCAGAATAAACCGACTTCATTTCAAGATTTTTTGGCTCGAGCTCAGCAACATATCATAGCTGAAGAATCGATGTCGGTTCCTATTCTCGACTTTTCTCCTAACAAGTCGGAAGTAGATCAAGATTCGAAAAAGAAGAAAAACAAGTTTTTCAAACTGAGCCGATCTCGGTTCGGGAATCCAAAAAATCCCGAGGTGAAGGAAGCCAGAGCCAAATATCTTAATGAAGCCAAATCCAGTTATCAGATAGTCTTCTCAGTCGGAGCTGCTACCATATTTGAAGAATTAAAAGAAAAAGGGATCCTTCCCGACCCCCGACCTGTGAGAACTCCAGAAGAAAAACTTTACAAAACGAAATACTGTTCATATCATAAGTTGGCGGGACATGATACTGATGAATGCTTGGGCTTACTCTCTGCCTTATTGCGGCTTATTGGACATCCACTAGTCCAAAGATTTGCCAAGAATGCTGATTATAAGCGAAAAGGTAGATTGTTAGAACCCCCAGATGATGATGAAGACGATGATCGTCCTGTTAATCCGAAGCGTATTAGACAAGGTGAAAAAGAAGTATTTATGTTGAACTCGGAGGAGAATGATTCTTCATCTTCGACTAAAACTGCAACGACCCAACGAAGTGGTTATTCTAATCCTCCTGGTTTTCATAATATCCCCCAAGTTAATAACAGTAGCGGCAAGTCCTTTGAATCACGTCGACAAATGAAAGCTTATGCTCGAAAAGCTTATAACTCGAGTAAAACTGTCGTAACAACCGACCTCTGAGATAAAATTAATGCTCGGAACAATTGTCCGATTACTTTCAATGTGGATGATGCTAGCTATTTTGCCCACCCACACTCTGATCCCCTTGTGATCACGGCACCAATTTGTGGGATACCAGTACATCGGATAATGGTTGATACAGGAGCATATTCAAGTATTCTAATGCTCCGCACGTTTGAACAAATGGGGATTGATCCAGCCGAGTTAAATCCCTGCAAAGATCAAGTGCAAGGTTTCAACGGAACAATCACACGGACTCTAGGAGAAATAACCATGCCAATTCGGTTTGGGATTCCTGGGCAGGCCTCCAAAGTAATCATGGAGACATTCAAGGTGATGGATCTCATAAATGAATATAATTCCATTGTGGGAAGAACAGCTCTATATAAACTTCGTGTAGCTGTCTCGATATTTCATTACGCTTTGAAATTTCTCACAAACAACGGAGAGGGAACCCATTACGGAGATCAATACGAAGCTCGTGGAATGGTATGGGTTAAGCCCTGGCATTAACCACCTTCTCCAATACATATGGAAGAAAAGGCCCAGGAAGAACGAGAAAAATCTCCACCTCTTAAGAACTCGGCATTAAGTAATACCGAGATGGAAATTGATCCGACTAAGAAATCGGAAACTTTAAATACAGAATCTCAGGGTGACTTAATTCGAGACCGTGGAAAGCGTCCAGGGAAAGAACTGATCCATGAAGAGGATGAACTTGATCCCCGGACTCAATTCAAAGAGAAAAACAAACTTGACCAAGCTGAACCATCAGAAGAAATTGAAACAATTTTCATTGATGATCCTATTCGTAATAAGTCACTTCGGATTGGGGCCAATCTTGAAGAACTAATACGAACTCAACTTATCCAGTTTCTTAAGGCAAATTCAGATGTATTCGCCTGGAAACATGAAGATATGAAAGGAATTGACCCCAATGTGGACTCACACCGACTTAATCTGGATCCGACAATAAAACTGGTGGTTCAGAAACGACGTAAACTCGGTCCCGACCGACAAAGGGCTCTTGAAGAAGAAGTCAAGAAACTAATTGACAACAAGTTCATTCAAGAAACTAAATACCCGACTTGGGTATCCAATCCAGTTCTGGTAAAGAAAAGTACTGGAGCATGGTGACTTTGTATTGACTTTTCCGACTTGAACATGTCCAAAGGACAGTTATCCACTACCTCATATTGATTACATGGTGGATGCCACTGCTGGACATGAATTGATGAGCTTTATGGACACATACTCAGGTTATAACCAAATTCCAATGGATCCCGGAGAAGCAGAACATACATCATTCTATTCTGCCCAAGGTCTATATTGTTATACGATGATGCCGTTTGGTCTAAAAAACGCAGGGGCCACGTATCAAAGGCTGGTTAATAAAATGTTTGCCAAGCTCATCGGGGATACCATGGAAGTCTATGTCGACGACATGTTAGTCAAGTCGGTTCACGCTGCTGATCATGTTAATCATTTGCGAGAAATGTTCAACATCTTTAGGAATTATTCCATGGTACTGAATCCAAAGAAATGCACTTTTGGAGTCGGTTCTGGTAAA